GTCCAGCAAATAATTGATGTTCTTTTCATGCTGAGGATGTTTTGAATATTCGGACTCACACACAAGAGCGAGACATGATAAAGTTCCCACTGCAGGCGCAGAAGACTACGCGAAAATACGAGAGCCGCGCACAGAAAATATGCAACTTGCTGTAAACAAACAATTTTTTCAGACTATAAAAGGGGAAAGGGAGAAGCGTTCTGCCTTGCTGCATTACTACTGGCTAAGGAGAGCTTGTGCGTCGGTGTAAAGAAGCAAGCGAAAGGAGTTTTTCGACTAGAAGGATTGCGTGTGACTCTGCTGGAAGAAGGAATGTGCTTTCTGGCTGAGGGTCATGTTTAGAGGTGGCCCAGGGCCTTAGATGCCACTTCACCCGGCAAACGCAGACATCATATTCACGGAGCTACAGCCACCAGTACCCATAGATAGAGCACTCACCCTTCCTCACCAGCAGGCAGTGAAGTAAAATTTGGTCAACCTGCTGTCCAAAACTGGCTCGCTGTTTTGCAGTGGCCGCTGGGCAGTGCGCCGCTGTAAGGCAAAGTCAGAATCTTATGCCATCAGTCTCTTTCGAATTCTCAAAACCCCCGACACCACAAGGAGTATCTCACTACAGTAAACTCATCTTTGGAAGGGCCTTATTTTGGCGCAAGCCTTGGTAAGGCACTGGATTACTATCTGTGAGTTGTTTCGCTGGAATAGGGGCTTTATCAGTTTTCTGAGTGATCAAAAATAGCTCAGGCAATTTCAGTAAGCTCCATATGGGTTCTCTTGAGGTGCTCAGTGAGCCTGCTGCTGGATGGCTCAGCTTTCGTGCGGCTTGTGGCATAACTTGCGCAGAGCAGTGGTAATACTCTCTGGAAGCTCTTGATCTCATCATTTGGCGGTATAGGTTTAATTATTGCAGCCTTTGGCGGCTGTATGCCCCTATAGACAGTTGTGACCCAGGCCATAAGACAGCCGTAGTCCTTACGACGATTGAATCCACTTCGCTGCAGGCTAGGCGTACCTTAGTCTGGCATAATTAACGCAATACCTGGAGAAGGAATGGACACGCTCGTATACAAAGGCGATAGATTCCATCTCTCCTCTATAAAATTGTCCAAATTAATGCCTGAATTTATCGTCGTGCAAAAAGTGAACATGGGTCCCCCGGTTTCGATATTGGTGTGTTGGGACTGAACTGCTTGGCGAACGAGTATTCCACTGGCGATTCAAACCCAACTCAAGCTCGCGACCTAAAGACAGCGACACAGGCTACCGAATGTTACTGGTGTATTAAAAGAAAACTCGCGGCGCTCACTTGGTTGGTTTCTGAATTCATTTATTAAGGGCTACAGCCGCATTCAGTCTCACATACCTAGCATACAGCTTCTTGAACCAGCCCACTCACCGCACGGGAGACTGGAGCAACGTCTAATGCAATACGACGAAAGGATAAATTGTTTGCGGAGCACAGCTACTTAGGGGGAATTAGATAACTGGAAGAAACGGGTCAGTGGTGCAGCATCGAATTCACAGCGTACTTTAGGGAGTTCCTTGGCGTTGTTAAGAGTGTCAGCCCACTGATAACGCGACTCACAACCATTCTTAAGCCGGTGTTTCGGTTTCACGATGATTCCATACATTCAACGTTATAGGGGACTGCCTTACTTTGGTAGAAAAAGCAGACGTAGGCAGTTCAGAACGACAGAAGCCCTGAAGAAGGAAGACCCATTCAGTGTGGGGTAAAGTTCTTTGATCCAGGAATGGTGATATTTCTCTTTCAGAAAGAAGCTTTCGGTCCGTCCTAAGGTGATGAGATGACGTATTTTTTGCGAGCAAGCATTAGCGATGATAATTTCGAAGGGCGAATCGGTCGGCAAGCGCTGAATTCTCCTGCGGCAGAGAACTCACGAAGGAACCTAAACCCCCTTCAGTAGTAGTACGGCTGTCATTTCATTTTCGTTTTTGGAAAACGTGAGGGGCATGCGTCGTCAGCCCTAGCACAGAACTGGATTCCCGTAGCTTTGACAACGTCGCTAAAAAGAAGACTCAAGGCAGATGTAACATATCTGCGCTCATTGGTACAAGCTAAGGACAATGGAGTCTCATGCTTCCTGTTACGCGTTATAGCGTATGTGTGTGTGTTTGTCCGCCATTGACTCAGCGCAACTAGAATGCTGGCTACGATATAGCAGCGTCGATACCGTATACTACCAGCCCAGCACCATACGTGATAGACTACTGCGGGGTGAATGCAAGCTATTATCACAAGAGGTACAATGAATTAAATTTTGACAGGAAAAGGCAGGCTTCCCTGTTGGCTGTATGACAGTCTGAAACGGCTCAACGTGCATGCGTTAGCTTCCTGGTAGCTTCTGAGTACACCAAGAAAGTAACAACATTCGCTGCAAAGTTGTCCTCTATTCTGCCCCGGATCCTCTTAATTTTGGACACACCTACGCTAGTTTCAGCATACTTCTTGAAGCACGCCTTTAAGCAACCCTTCTCAAGATTCCTCCTCCAAATTTCTGTGTCCCTTGTTGAGCATCGTAATTCCTGCCACAGAGGGCTTGCGCAATCCGTGCAGATGTGATCAAGCTTGACAAAGAACTACTCCTCTTTATCATCCCTTGGCCATCTCAGGCAATAGTCTATTTACAATTCTGCTGTGGTTTGGAAGCTTGTGTGCTTGTGTTGACCTGCTGAAGCAGCAGCCGCTTCTTTGATAGCAACATGCGTAGTAATCTCAATTCCAACATAAAGTGAGGCGTTTACAGAGTGCGTATTCTCATATAGGTACCCGCTTGCTGGTCGCGAAATGCTCTGTTACATACTACTGGGCGTCTGACTACTTTTATCGCTTGAGAAGTGGTAATGTATGCGCAAAATGGTGACGCTTCCACGCGAATGGTCAGTTCCATCCACGGCTTCGGTAGGGAGGCTTCACCCGGACGTGGTAATGAGTCACATAATCTGGTGTTGATTCGCCAACTGTAAAGTAATGAAGCGTTATGGAATCGTGACGGTATATAAAGCTTTAATAGGCAAAGCTTTTGAGAGGGGTTATTTGGTCTGTGTGCCCAGCTGAAGCTGTTTCACCGATAACTGTTGAACCTGCCAATATTTTTCGATTTTTTTTTCATTTTGAAAGGTGACATATCTACATTCAACTCTGGAGCAGCAAACTTCCCAATGTACCACCGCAATGCTTCTGGACTCTATAATCATTTCTATCCTCAGCTACCGGTGATCTGCTATGTCGTACTCGATACCCGTAGTTTCGGGGGACATTATACATCCAATGCTAGAGACCCCTGCTACAGCGGCATTTCCTCGCTGGTCTATGAGCCGGGCCTATTTAAAGACTGCTAATCAAATGATTCCCCTTCCCAAGCTTGCGTTTGTTCTTGAGTCTTCAGAGTTCTCTATCCCGAGAGTTGCATCCACCTAGCTTTGCTGAGTTATCATGCAATATTAGTGGTTAGTAGCCAGTATAACTAGTCCTCCGGTATTTCCACGCAGTCCATCCGGTGAAGATTCTCAGCAGACCACTTTCTGCGGCGAGCCTCGCTACAGTTCTGCATCCAAATCCTGGCAGGGAAATTCTACGTGCCGCCTTCCCGGCAACAGAGCGGCTTCCGAAGAGTGATCAGTTACACTTGCCCGCAACATTTACTTCTTTGGTAGTATCGGCTGCAATATAGCACGACTGCCAACCTAGACATTATGCATACGCTACTGCTTATATATAGTGGCAGCTGGCTACTCTTCCTCGCAATCCTTGTTGCAGAAGTCCGGTGAACTCGGGTGCTATTCAAGTTGAGCTTCAGCTCGGGGCTTTCTTGCTTTGTTGCCCGTGGCTGGCTTTTATGTCCATGGCCTTGCCGCTTCGCATGTGTGGCAACGACGCCAAGGCAAGCAGCACTGGAAAACTGATGATTCAAGTACCCTGTGCTCACGGCCACCAGCACGCAGGCCAACACACGCAGTGCGAGAGCAAACAAACACGCACCCCGGCGGAAGTCCCGAGCTCTGTCATACGCTGCCACCTGCCACTGAAGGCCAAACGCAACAATCCAGGGGACTGAACTTCCAAAGCGATGCGGTGAGACAACCCGTCGAGGCAACACGAACATCACGTTGCTACGCAAATGCCAATTCCAAGGACAATTGCACCCGCCACTTTGTCCAGTCGATTGCGGAGTCCTTGTGCACTATGTTGCTTCAAGCATATTTATATATAACAGTACACAACAGAGAGGCACAGATGCACGTATCCTTCTACGCAGTGCGCTACCGCAGCTAATTTCACTACGGTCACCGGTCGGCTGGCTCAAGGTAGCGCCACATCTATAATTTGAATACGCCGTACAGCAACGATGCGTATGTTCATGTACTGATACGTGATTCATGCACTAGCTTCACCCCCGGTAAAAAAACAGTCGGCTTCTGCGCGGTGCGCTCAGCTGCAGGACCGTCCAGTGAGCCAATTTTCACAGCAACGATTCCTTGTGTCCTAGCCCTTACAGAAAGTCTTACGCCCATGCAACGGAGAACTGAAAACTCCCCAGAAGGAGCTGCTGCTGATGAGCTGGAACAGTCATTGGACACCTTCAAGTGTAAGTGGCCGCCCGCAAACGCGTGTAGACACGCCGAGTGCCACACAAACTGGACGTCTGTTGCCTGCTGCGACGGAGAAGTGCCAGAATGCAGCCAATTCCTTTTTCTCGATGAGACATATATGCCAGAGCATCGTCCAGCAGACCACAACCCTGCTGGTACAGGTGCATCTGCTGTTACTCCTGCATCTGCTCCCACTACTGCGCGGCTGGCGCCTAAAAGACAGGGCGGGGACGGTCCTCAGGCTCAGGAAACACACGAGCGAAGGCGCTGTGACTGCACACAGTGCCGAGTTTCTCTGCAGAAGCTGCTGCAAAGCTGCTCTCTACGCCAATCACAGACGCATCACGGAATTCCGCACACGGGATCTCGTCGCTAGAGCTGGCAGGCGATAGTCAGATCAAAGGCAGCTGGAGCTGCTGCTGCTCGCAAAAAACCTGCTGTTGCGACTGCTGTTGCATACTTTCCAACAGTAACTGCTGCTGCTGCTGCTGCCAGAACACTGCGCTACTGCTACTGCTACCTCCAGGTGAAGCCCCCTCAAAGTCTGGCACCATGAGCGCGGTTGGGGTAGCAGCTGCTGTGTTGCTCCCAGGGACTGCATCCGTCAGTGAGCTGCTGGTCAAGGGGCTGAGCGACGAGTAGCGAGCCGCAACTGCTGCTGCATCCTGCCCCCTCTGCTGCGTGTCCAACTGGCTGCTTTGTTGCTGCTGGCCCTGCTGCGAGCTCCGAAACGAAGCGGGCTGGAACTGGGGAGGGAGCACATCATAGAGTCCGCAAATCTGCAAATCACACGCACCTGCTTAAGACACGCCACTGAAAAACGAGCAACGAACTTACTCCTGACGAGCCTCCCGCATAGTGCGTGCCCCCTGTATCTACCCTGGAATATTCAGGAGCAACGGCGCGTACTCACCTGCGCAAGCTGAAACAGCTGCTTTGTCGTGGCACAGCGGACTCCCGCAACCGACGAAGCCTTTTTCCGCAGATGTGGGAAAACACGGAGCTGCCTAAACACCACATTTTCGAACCCACGAAGCACCAACGCGGTTGTGTGACCATAATTTACCAGAGTGTTATTTCATCTCGTGACTATGACAAGCTCGTATTTCAGCTGCCGTAACAGCATTTGAGAGCCACCAACTTCTCTAAGCTGAACAGAAGACAAGAACATACATACCTTGATATTCTGCTTTTAATAATAGCCCTCCCCTTGTCGCCCAACTTGAACATGCCTTGGGCTCTGAACTGTTGCCACTGCGCCTCAGTCAGATTCAGCAACGAGAGGCAGTCTGTGCTGTCTTCAAACTGCGGAACGCATACAGGTATTTCCACGTTGCACACGAAAGGGCCCCCCTTCACCAGAGGTGCTGCTGCTGCGGCTACTTTGGGGGAAGGAGCCGTAGACGGAGCTGATGAGTCCCTGTTGCACTCCTGCGAACCGCTGCTTGCCGCTGTATCGGCGGCACCCCCAGATTCTTGAGAAACGTGAGAAAGCTGACGTGTGAGAGTCCCTTCCACTATCGTATGGAGCCCCGCATGCTGCTGCTGTTGCGGTTCTAGTCCGAGAGAGCTGCAGCAGCAGCAGCTAGCTGCACTTCCACACGAGCCACAGTTTGCTGCTGTGGAATCTCCGTGCTGCAGCTGCTGTTGTGCTCCCGTAGTTGCTGTAGAAGGTGAGCATGAAATGTTGTAGAATGAGGCAGGCGAGAGTTGTTGTTGTTGTTCCTCCGCAGACAGCAGCAGGGCTTGGCACCCCTGGCCGTCACATGGCCACTGGTCCTGCTGACCCACTACCCATTCATCACAGCTAGAGTCCGCAAGAGTGCTATCTGTAAGTCTTTTCCTCTTTTGCACAGGAAGCAGGAACGACTCCTGCTGTTGCTGCTCTTGCCGGCCGTAGCATGGCTGCCCTGTTGACACATCGGACCCAGTTGCGAAGAAACTGCCACTTCGTTGCTGCTGTGTACAAACACACTGCTGGTTGCCACAGCAGCAACTGCCTGCAGAATAGGGCTGCTTCTCTTGCTCTTGCTGATCCTGCTCTAGTCTTGGCACTTCAAGGGGATCTGACGCACGCCGTCGCCGGACGCGCTGCCTCGTGGCCGCGGCAGGAGACTGTTGCATCTGCTGCGTCCCTGCTCCTGGTTTCTGGCATTCTGTCTCTTGAGACGAAGTTTCCCGCGTCTCAACTAGCTTAACCTGCTGCTGCTGGCGCTCTGACTCCTTGGGAACGGGATGAGATCGCTGGTCAGGATGTGTGTGCTGCAATGGTGAGGCGCAGCCACTTGCACAGTACGATACTGGAGAGGGCGAAAGCTGCTCAAGAGTGCTTGGCTCTATTTGCTGCTGCTGCTGCTGCTGCTGCTGGTTGATGTCACGGGAAGGTGTCTTTCCTGCTTCAGGAGCTTGGTCATCATGCAACAGAAGGTCTTTCTCCAAAGGCAGCAGCTCTTCCATCTTTCCCTCCCTATTTTGCCGTGCCACATCAAAGTCGAGCGCGCAACAGCAGGTACTGGTGCTACTGCGGCTGGTGTATGCCTCGCTGCAGCGCCGCTGGCAGCATTCCACTCTCGCTGATTCCGGTGGAACTGCCTCATTCCTACAAGGTGGCAGAGGCCCCAACGGCCTCTCACCAGCATTCAGAGGGCTTGGCACGCTGGTCAAAAGTGTGGCGTCGCATATAAGGTTACTCGGCAGCTGTAGGAGAAGAGCACCCACTCCCACCGCTGCCGCCCGTCGCTCATGCTCAGGAGGTCCTCCAGCGTCTGGGCACCTGCTTGGGGCACCCCAGTATTCCCGGTGACCCCAACTCTCCTCTTCAGGGCCCCAGAGCTGACTCACATCTCCATCGTCTGCATCCAGAGGACTCGGTGCCTCCTGCAAAGCCAAGCAGGAATCGCAGGCGCCGCCAAAGTCACAGCTGAAGTCATCTGCTACGGACACCGGTAGAGGCCCCCACACTTCGCAGCTGTTGCTGCTGCTGCTATTCGCAGTGCCGCAACTGCCGTAGTAGAAGCAGCAACAACAGCATGTTGAAGGAGTCTCTGCCTCTGCGGCACCAGAGCGATGCACCTCTGACGGTGACGTGTGCGTAGCCGCCGTTGCTGTTGCTGCTGCTGCTCTCTCTAGCTCGTCCGACTTTGGGGGAGCCATGTGCTGAAATGCGACAGCAGCATTTGGCGGGGAAGCAAGAAAGGCGGGCGAGGAGTCACAGCGCAGTCGCAGCAACTGCGCATAGGCGATGCATCTGCTGCAAGCCCACTCCCCTGCTGCAGCGGTTAAGCAGCAAGACTGCTGAAGCAGCGTCTCCGTCGTCGGGTCATCGCAGCAATTGCCGCAGTTGCTGCTGCTGCAGCCACAGCAGCTACCACCTTGGCAGTGGTCGGCGTAGCCTGCTGGGAGGTGAGGGGGAGACAAGAAAAGCTGCTGCAACATTGTGTCCCAGGGGTCACGTACACCCAAGACTACTGCTGCAGTAGGAGCACCTGAAATAGCAGTACGAAGTCGGCCAGCTCTATATCACCTGGCACAACAGATGCGGCGGCTCCTGATTTTCGCTGCTGCTGTTGTCGGTGCTGCTGCTGCTGCGGGGTCTGGACGGGCCGCGTGGCTGCAGGGCCGCCAGAGAGCCGCCAGCAGCAGCAGCTGCGTCTCTAGCCTGTCATGAAACGAAACTTAACTGTGGAAGCCAGCAAACAGCCGCTGCAGCGGCAAGGCCGTGGGCTACGCTGCGGGGTAAGTATTCGGTGTGGTAATACCGGTGGAGAGTCGAAAAACACACGGCCCGCTCGAATATGCTCCAACGTAATAAGTATAGTGCCCTCGGCAAAAGGCTTTGATGTGATGCTGCTGCCTTTACTATTGCTGCCGGCAACCCCTGCTTGCCTCCCGACGTGCCCCTGTCGGCTGCGGCGTCCCTTCAACGACAGCAGCAGCACACACAGTAATTGTAAGCCCTAGCCTCTAAATCATGAAAACGTAGACAAATCCAATCCTCCAAGGGATCCCTGCAAGACAAGGTGTGTAGAGGAAGACGCGAATGGAGGCTAGCGCAACAGTTGCTGTTGCAGCACGACGCCGAGTCGAGCACCAGCAGCAGTTGCAACCGTCCTTATTGGGGGGGCACAAAGCCACAGACACGGACGAAATAAAGACAATTTGACCCTTAAAACCATTGGGAGCTATCGGTTCTAGCACCTGATGGGAAGGGAATGGAACTACTGATACTTGTGCCCCCAGCAGCAAACGCAGCAACGCCGCAGAAACTCTGCTGCTGCAGTAGTTGAGGAGCAGGGAGCACTGAGAGAGCAGGCTGACGCCTGTCTTAAGGTTTATACGAAGGTGAAAACGTAACAGAAATGCTGGTGTGCTGCTGCACGCTCCCGAGCTGCAGCTGCTGCGCCTTCAGCTACCCCGCCCGCTGCGTGGCTGTGGTGGCAGCAGCAGCGAACCTGCAGCAGCCGCTGCAGCCGAGAGCGGCACATAAAGCCCCTCCTTCTCTATTGTTTAAATACCCTTGACTCATTTAAGTGATTATGAAACCAGTACGCGTAATAAACCGCAGGAAATAACAGAGACAGCGCGCTGCTTACGGTGCGCGCATTACAGTGAGACTGAGGGACCCGCTGCCGATACGCGCTGTGGGGTCATTCCCTCTTGGTGTAATAAATAGAGATTTAACAGTTCACACGCAGTTTAATGGAATAAGTATCAGCTCATAAATGACAAATACTTCACTCAACACCCCAGACTTGCACCCAGGTGCACGCTTTATGCCCACCAAGGGCCCCTCATCATATGAGGGCCCCTGCTCCCGTACCCTACATCCCTCCCTGAGGGCCCCTGGGTTGGAGTAAGTGCTGCTACGTCTCCATTACGTATACGATATAATCTTATAGACGATTCAGTCATAGGGAGACTCATTCTCGTTGCAACACTACGGGGACAGCATCAGTATACTCTAGAGGTCGCAGGTTGCCAGCAAGGCCCTAAGCCCGTGCAGCTCTGTCAAGCCAAGCACGAGCCCTTCTCATCCCCTCACCTTTACAGTTCTTTATTGATTTAAAAGAGAGAGCTGACCATGCAGCGGCCGATAGGGGTGCAGAAGGCTACCGCGGCAACCGCAAAAACTGCAGCAGCTACAGGAAGGCGCCTCTCCAGAAACCAACACGGAGAGATCCCCGACTTTTCCTGTGCGGGCAGAGCTCTGTAGGGATCTGTGACCTTTCCAAAATGACTCCAGGAGCGCAGCAGGAGCAACTGCTGCACCAGGAGTTCTCGTCAGGAACAAGCGCAGCGAGGAGGATGCCGAATTCCTTCGAGTTGCTTGTAAGTGCTGCCGTCAGTGGTCTTGTAACGAAGACGGCCTGCGCCCCTATGGACCGCCTGAGGCTTCTTTACCAAGTCCAGGGCATGCTACGGCACGACCAGGAACACCAGCGAAGAGCTCCGTCTCCAACAGCACAAGAGGGAGCCTCTGTATACCAGGCTTCTAAGGCCAGAGACATAAGTAAATACGGGGGCATCGTTGATGCTATCAGAGTCGTAGTTAAAGAAGAAGGCATAAGGGGCCTCTGGAAGGGAAACGGAGTAAATGCAATGCGAGCTGCTGCTTGTTACGCCATCAAATTTCCAGCGAACGATCTAGCTAAGCGAGCCCTCGGAGACAGAAGCAACAAGCACGGAGGCAGCAGCGCAGTCAGCCGCAGCAGCGACGGCAGCAGCCTGCTCTCTCTGCTTCTAGCTGGGGCTGTTGCTGGGTCACTGCAGAAGAGCCTCTTATACCCTCTGGATCTCCTGTCCGTTAGAATAGCTGTTGGCGTGAATGCCTCAGCCTTGGGCCGCACAGGGTCTTCGCACGCTGCAGCGTCTTGCGGCAGCAGCAGCATTAGTAAAACTGACTGTGGCAATAAGGGTTATAGGGGGGTGCTGGATTGTGCAAAACGGGTGTGGCTGCTGGAGGGTCCTAGGGGTTTTTTTAAAGGCTACTCAGTCACCCTTTGGTCTGGAGTGCCATACGTCATGCTACAGATGACGGTTTTTGATTTGTCAAAGAGGTAAGGGTACATTTAAAACTGAAGAGGCCTTCCAAGAGTACTGTGCTACAAATATTCACTTTGAGAGACTAGTGATTTGATAGGCACACCTGTTAGTGTACAGCTGAGGCTAAAGCGACGCTGAGCACACACAGCGTACGCAAATGCTGACGCTAAGGCTCGTGAATTTTTCTCTATGATTTTAAGCACAGCTGCGTACATCTGTACACCCTTATCATTGGGCAAAGAGCAGGAGCTTCCAGCAGGCGTTTATGTGTGTGAATCTGTCGCAAGCGTTAATGAGCAGCAGCAGCCAACAGACAGTGTGGGTCCCGCAGAGCGATTGGCAGCACTGGTATCTTCTCCAGAAGCTCGAACTTAAAAACTTATTTTGTCTTAGTGAATTTAAATGCTTCAGAATTTTGGGAGATGCCGCTCAAAGAAGACAAGCGGGAGGCTCGTGGCCCCTTGTGCTGCTCACGGCAGGTGTCTCAGGTATGCTCCTTGCCGTCAGCACCAGATCGCATCATCAGTAGCATTAATTTTTAATGGAATTGTACAGTTGCATGAGTTGTGAGGTTGTTCCAAGAGCTTTGCACATGGCAGCGCGTAGACCTGTGCGCTTCTACATACCCTTTTGCCTTACTAGACAGGAGAGACAGTATTTGGTTCTATACGAATATTTGACATATTCAGATATTTGCATCTATTCCACTGGCAGCGGAAGAACATTTCCTCAATTTACGTGGTGGTGCTTTAACAGCAGTAGCCGCTGATGGAGCTAATGTGTTTGTTGCAGGCAGCGCAGCCAACATGGCGGCACAAGCAATTGTGTTTCCGTTTGACACCATCCGCAAGCGCCTCATGAATGACGGCATAGACGGCCGCCCCAAGCTGTACAGGTACTCAAGAACGCTCTTGCGCGCATCGCTGTTACACAGAGAACCGGCTGTGTATCTGTTGTACATTGGTGCACGTTGATATGTGCCAGCCAATGAGCGTGGCAGCCTTCAATCATTTTGGTTTCGGATAAAAGGCTGCTTTGGGCAAGTCATAAATAAACATGAGTTGCCAAAGCTTGTATTTGCTGTAAAAATGCAATCAGCGCACACGTATGTGCTGCCATGTATCCTATGCCCTTGTGGCTCCAAGGTGCCGGCACACTTTGCGTAGCTTAACTCTTCGGGCTTCGTTGTTTTAAGGCCATATCTTGTGTGTCTGACGGCGTGGACTGTCCAGTCTGTAGTCAGTTCCATCTGTACCTGGAAGAAGGTCTTTGCGTGTGTCCTGCCTGCTGTGAATTTGTGATGGTTACAATTTGCTTACTTCAGTTCCACGCTGAGCTGCTTCAATGCCATCCGCCATACTGAAGGCTTCCGCGCTTTCTACTACGGCATATGGCCCGCGACTTTGCGTAGTATACCGGCTGGGGCGATTCAGTTCGCCAGCTACGAGTTAATGAAGGAGCTGTTTCTCACGAGAACAGCAAGGGCAACGCCCAAAGCAGCCTAATCCAGTAAGCGCAACATCGGCCATTGAAGTGGTACATTTTGGAGAGGAGATGGCTCGTGTCAGTCTGCGCATGATCATGGTAACCTCTGCACAGGTGCGGAGAGCTCAAGGCAAAGGCGATTGTTCATGGGAGCTTTTAAATTGCTTGAACGTCTGCTTTTAATCCTTTGGAGTGGCTCTTTGCAGTTCCACTGCATGTGGGTCTCATGGCAGATGAACTGGTCGTCCACTGCCACTACTTTGGTCACTGCCTTATCGTCTTTAGAGTTTCCTTTTGTATTCATTTCTCCCAAGCGTTTGAAATCTCCAGAAAAAGTCGCCCTTTACTGGCAGCCACAAAGTACGCGGCTAGTTACCTTTTGGGAGAGACATTAGGAACATATAAAGGCGCACTCAGACCACCTAATTTGAAGTGGCTTATTTGTTCGTTAATTCTGTCGATAAATATCCCCAGCTTTGTTGGATGTGAACAATATTAGGGGTCCCGGATTGGAATAATTTGTGTGCTGTTGACAAACCGCGGCCTTTATTTATAGTATGCACTATTAATTCGTGATGTTGGCGAGTTCCTAGGATAGTCAGCATTCTTAAACTGCTTAGGAGCAATGCTGGGCAGCTGGGTGCAGTACAGGTGGGGGACGTTCGGGATGATATCTGGACAGCGCCACAGCACAAGCGTATAGACACCACTGCACAGCAACATCAATCGGCACCTGGGGAGAACGTGCCTGAATTGTGGCGTATGAACCGCAATAACGCAACGGCCATACAAGAACCAGGAGAACCCTCACCGTTGATGCGTACATGAAGTGCACGCAAGGGAAACCTCGGAAACCACCAAGGAAAACAACGGACAGTTTGGCTCAAGGGATCGCTGAGGCTGCATAG